TCTATTGACAAAGGTGCAAAACTCAGAGACGTTAAGTAATTCACCCAAGATCGCACAGTAAGCAGCAGACGTTGGGGCCAAACCCAAGCTTGCCTGATCCCAGGGTCTGTGCTCTCCTTCTTACTCTGAATTGCCTCTTTTTATTTAGCAGCAGTTGTCAAACTTTTTCTGTAAAAGGCCAGATAGTAAATATTTTAGGCTTTGTGGGCCATAAAGTCTCTGTTGCAACTTTGAGTTGTAGCAAGAAAGAAGCCATAGAAAATTTGTAAATGAAAGATCATGACTATGATCCAAAAAAATGTTCTTATGGACACAAATTTGAATTTCATATGATATGCACATGTCATTAAATACTGTTCTTTTGATTTTTTTTAACCATTAAAATTGTAAAAACCATTCTTAATTCGTGGGCCATACAGAAACAGATGGTGGGTTTGGCCCACAGGTGACCCATAGTTGACAACCTTGGTTTACAGCATCATTACATTCTAGAATGGTTAGATATGCATGTATTTGCCTCTTTGCTTTCTTTCCTTGAACAATTCAGCTTGGGTCCCAAATGTTCATACCCAACTGAAAAAATATGAGTCCTTCAGTAAAGAAATTCCCTTAGAAAGCAGTTCAGAGACCATTGAGTATGCCTCGTGGGGTTCCACCCTCAACACCAGGCAGTTTTTCAGAAAATTCCAACTACTTTGAGAGAGGTACATTTTCCCATCACTTTATTAGTTTGTTTTTTTTTTTTTTTGCGGTACGCAGGCCTCTCACTGTTGTGGCCTCTCCCGCTGCGGAGCACAGGCTCTGGACGCGCAGGCTCAGTGGCCATGGCTCACAGGCCCAGCCGCTCCGCGGCATGTGAGATCTTCCCGGACCGGGGCACGAACCTGTGTCCCCTGCAACGGCAGGCAGACTCTCAACCACTGCGCCACCAGGGAAGCCCACTTTATTAGTTTTGACATGAGATTCTAGAGTCTTAAATGGTGCTCTGGGCCGTTGCCTGGCTGACTAGCCTTGTTTTTGACTCTGAACTTGGACCAAATTGAGAACTCTAGACCTGTGGAGACAATCCAGTTACTGTGCTCGTGGGAGTGGAAGGGACCATTCAGGGCAAGGTGGGTGGGACAGAGGAGGGGAAGGGTGCCAGGGTCCCTGCTTGGCCTGGGGTCAGGGGGGCAGGGCTCCTGGCTCAAAGAGGCCTCGGGGCTTAGTGATATTCCATTTAAATTCAAATATAATGGTATTAAATAAGCTTTAGGTTTAGGAATGTAAATACTGCTTAGAACCTTGACTCTGGAGAACAGTAATAAAAGCTGCAAACCAGCGTCTTGCAAGCAAACTTTCAGAATTAAACCCACTTGGAATACAGATGATCTGTGTATAAAAATAAACTGATTTAAAAGTGATTTCTTTTTGTGATTCAGAGAAATTTAATTATTTTTTATAGCAATTAGAAATGAGCTAAGGGGAATTACTGAAGTAGCGTTGAGAATTAGTGAAATGAATTCTTGCAAGATGAAAAACTTACGATAAAATAATCCTTGAGAAGATGTTCCCTGCAAAGGCAGTAACCTTATTTTTAAAAATACTTTTTCCTGAAGTTTAATCTTCATACAGAAAAGTGAACACATCATAGGTCTGTAGCTTGAAGAATTTTCACAAACTGAACACACTTGTGGAACCAGTTTCCGAATCAAGACACAACACACTTGTAAATATCAAGAACTCCTTATTTGTAGGAGGAGAATCGGAGTAGGGACCTGTTTGGAAGGGATGGCCGGAAAAAGTGTCTCGAAACTGGGTTTGCTTAGGAAGCATGGTTTTACTTGAGGTGCCTTGGGTAGGGCAGTGGGAATTATGGGGTGTGGGTGACACGTGGAGCTGCTGCAGCTTTGGGGTCACCCTCTGTTTAGGTCTAACTTTGCCTCTGCCATTGCCTCACCGTGTGACTGTGACAGGACTCCCTACCCCCTGAAGTCTCTGCAGTTGTGAAATGTTGATCTCCATGCGGACAGAAGCAGGCTTGCTCACTGTTACGCTCTCAGGACCTGATACGGTGCCTGCCACACAGGAAGCCCCAAACAACCGTTTTTTAAAAACGAAGAAAACAACTAATGAATAATGTATACAGCCCTTAGAAGATGCTCAGTAATGTAAATAAAAGTCACAAAATGACCCATTGATCCAGTAATGCCATATGGGTAAATGTATTCCCCAAGAAAATTTTTCCACGTAAAAGTAACTTCTATAAATGAATATATATTTTATGTATAAAATAACACTTGTTAATTATTGTGAAATATTGAAAGTAACTCAAAGACTGCTAGCAGTGGGGAACAGCTGTGCAATTATGAATTGTTGAAACATTGAAAGCTATTTAGCTAAAACCTGGCAAGTATGTTGATTATATTGAAATAGAAAGTTTTTTAAATTGGAGAGAATGTTTAGAAGATATATACAAGTGTATATCTATTACAGAAAGAAAACTGAATGACAATTTGGACTGATAAAGCTTAGAAGTGGCTATAGTTTTCCTCTACTAAGTTGCTTAAGATTTTTTGAATTGATTCTCTTTCTCCAGAAGAAAAAGAAACAAAGTGAAGCACCCACTCCCCTACCACCACCCCAGCCCCCCAGTACGTGGAGCCCCGCATCCCGAGCAGGGCCTGCTCTTGCTGTGGTGTCCCTGCCAGGCTGCGAAAGTGTTGTTGAGAGAAGGCGCTGGCGGGAGTTGCTGAGCGGCACAATGATTTCCTAATCATCTAAGTGTGTTAGATTCACGGCAAAAGCAATTTCCTTAATGAATGAATTGGCTGCTGCCAGCATAAGTCCTTTGCCCAAAACTCTTACAAGAAGGATGACATTTAGATGTATTCTTTATCATTGACAGGCTATCCCTGGCAGATGACTGCCATGGGCTCATCTGTTAAAAAAAATATCAGGGTTTTATCAGCATTTTGAAGTAAGCCACAGATTCAATCGAAGCCCAGATAACCTAAAATCTGCAATAATAATAATCAGCCAATGAAAGTCATAATTTCATCTTAGTTTTGTATTATGCTCTATCATTGTTTTCATTTTTAATTTATTTTTTGTTATTTTTATTATTTTTTATTTTTGGCCATGCCACACGGCTTATGGGATCTTAGTTCCCTGAACAGGGATTGAACCTGGGCCCTGGCAGTGAAAGCGCCAAGCCCTAACCTCTGGACCACCAGGGAATTCTCTGTTTTTTTATTTTATAAATTATTATTATTATCATTTTGTGCTCTATCATTCTGAAGGGGCTTTCTCACAAGACAATCAAGGGAGTATTCTCAAATGTACAACGTCTTGTAAAAGTACAAGTATAAATTATTGCTGTGTTATCATTTCCATATGAAGATGTGAGTCTTCAGATAGAGTCTGGGCGAATATTTGACGTCCCAGCCCCCATGCTTGGACATTCAATATTTGGCATTTTGAATAAATAGTAGTAGAAGTTGAAAAGTATGGTGCCTGCCCACAGATCCCATGTGCCAAGTTCTGTGCTAAGCCAGACTCTCCACGTACTGAATTGTTATAACAGTTCCATCAAGAATGTGCTTTTCTTATTTTCATTTTTATGAAGAAACCGAGTCTCAGAGAGGTTAAGTAACTTGGCCAAGGTCACCCAGCTTATGTGTGGTAAAAATGAATTTGTGAAAATCATGTGAATTATTTATTTGATTAACTCATTTGTAAAGGCTATTATGTCTAATTAAACAGAGACTGTAGGTAGACAAAGATAATAATGTCTTGGAGGGGAATGTCTGGATTTAGAGGAGTGATTTTAAAAATTACCTTTTGAAGGAGACCTATCCTATGTGTCTATCCTACATTACATGTGATCTGTCAGGAAGATTGCCAATGGAGGAGGTTATAAGCCCAGATTGTATTAATAACCTTTACTTTGAAATTTGGTCCAAAAGACCTTTCCTTCATCTGAAGCTGGGACGGCCCTGTGATGACATCCCTTGGCAGACGGGACACCGTCTCCAAGGCTGATCTCATTGTCTGGAGCTCTTTCACCTGCAGTGAATGAGAATTTATTTGACCCTTTCAAGAAATTCAGATTCCGTCATATTTATGTGGCCCGGTTTAAGTGACAGGCGCCGAATACGGTTGCTTTTAAGCAAGTTATTTTGTTTAACCAGGGGCCTAGCAGAGTTCCTGATTACATAGGTAGCTGTTCAGAAAAGAAAGAAACAATTTTATCCTCACAACATCTCTGACAAGTGGTTCCTAAATCTATCACAATTTTGCGGATGAGTAAACCGAGGCTTGGTGATGAAGCAAAGTGCTCAAGGCCATGTCGTTGTATAGGTAATGGAGTCTGATTTCAGATGCAGAAAATGCCAAGGACAGTGCCCTTTCCATTATATCTATAGCCAATTTTTGGAAAAACCTCAAGGGAAAAACCACAGCAAATTTTTAGAGTTCTGGTGATTTCTTCTCTCTGACCTCAGCACAAATTCCCACATAAACCAAGGACTGGCTGATGAATCAATAAGTGAAAGGAAGTGCTTCCGCTACGTGCGGCTCATCACATTGCTCTTTCTTGCAGTTCCCAAAGTGGCTGGGATCCATTAGAGACTGAAGTGGCAGAGACCACTGTCAGCTGTGGTCTCCACTTCTCGGAGCAGAAGCCAGGAGAGAGCAGTCTGAAAACGTCTTATTCACACATTAGGTTGCTATTGTGGTCTTTTTCATGTTGCCACCAGAGCAACTGCTTGTGTTTTTAACCGTGGGCTGATTTTAGAGATCAGGTCAGCTTCTGCTTCTTGACTGGGTGGGGTCGTGGGTACGGGGTATAACAGATCCAAGCTTTCCCCGCCGAGGGTAAGAGTGGCTTAGACAAGGGAGGAGGACCCTTGTCCACTGAGGTGGACCCCCTGATCAATCAGTTTGCCAATGAGGAAGCTCCCCCATCAGCAAAAAAGGAAAAAAAGACTCAAGTTCTCCTCCTCTTTTTCTTTTTCCAGTTGAAGACCAGCCTTTGGAGGTTTCCAAAGTAGATGGTGCATCTCCCTTGGATGGACTGCATGAAGTAACATTCTGCAGATTGCTGTCAGAGGTCCTAAGAACACAAATCCATCTGGTTTCCATTCCTCGTTGTTGAATGGCGTTTGCTTCAGCAGCCCACTGAGGGCTCTTTTCCTCGGAATTCTGAATTTGTAACTAGGAATCCGAGCTGGGAAGATGCTGAGTTCCATCAAGTGTGTGTTGGTGGGAGACTCTGCTGTGGGGAAAACCTCTCTGTTAGTGCGCTTCACCTCAGAGACCTTCCCAGAGGCCTACAAGCCCACAGTGTATGAAAATACAGGTGTAGACGTCTTCATGGATGGCATCCAGATCAGCCTGGGTCTCTGGGACACAGCTGGCAATGATGCCTTCAGGAGTATCCGCCCTCTGTCCTACCAGCAGGCAGACGTGGTGCTGATGTGCTACTCCGTGGCCAACCATAGCTCCTTCCTGAACCTGAAGAACAAGTGGATCGGTGAAGTCAGGAGCAACCTGCCCTGCACCCCAGTGCTGGTGGTGGCCACCCAGACTGACCAGCGGGAGGTGGGGCCCCACAGGGCTTCCTGCGTCAACGCCATAGAAGGAAAGAGACTGGCCCAGGAGGTGAGAGCCAAGGGCTACCTGGAGTGTTCAGCCCTCAGCAACCGGGGGGTACAGCAGGTATTTGAGTGTGCCGTCCGGACTGCCATCAACCAGGCCAGGAGACGCAACAGAAGGAGGTTCTTCTCCGTTAACGAGTGCAAGATCCTCTAAACCCCAAAGACTCCACCCAGCAGTCACTTACCGCAAAGACTAACTGGGACAGGGAGAGCAGGCAAGCCAGCAAGCGTCGATGCTCTTTCTGGGCACGTCCTGAGCAGCCTGAAGCAGCATGAGCAGCAGCAGGAAACCTTTCGGATACAGTTGTTGATGAGACTTGGCTACTGGATGTTTTTACGAAATACACTCTATCAAAGAACTCTTTGCCCATTACAGTTAGAAGATCCCTTGGGAAACTGTAATGAATATTCCACCTTCGATTATAAAACCAAAGTGGTCTCCATAATTTCGGATAATGAAGTGAGTTTTCCAAAGAATTCCATATTTAAAGACACATTGTATTTAAATAATAACAAAATAAATAGCACTGGTATATAATTAGTTTTCACGCTTGGGAAGTCTTTTCCTACCTACTGACAAACAGAAATTGATGTATGAGTGAAACGACCTTATAGGGCCCTGCCATGTGTTCGTAGTGTCGGTATTTTCATCTGAAGTAGTAATTTTGTTGAAATCACTTGCCAGCTAGATTTTATTAGGTAATCAAATTTTAAAATTACTGTAAACTGATCCTTGCAATTAATTTTCCACCCACTTGTTATTCAGAGTTGTATATAAAATACAGTTCAATGACATAAGATACTTTAATACTGCCTAATGATTTTAAACAGCTATCATTATATGTCTCTGTAATTATTTTTTTTAAAAACGCATTTCTTATGGTTTTGCCTTTCACCCAAAGAACTCCAGTTGTGTACTAAGTATGCTTCTGTCATTCCCCAAAACAGATTGAAGGAAAACCTCTCAGGTAGAGAATCAGACTGCTCGCAGTGATAGCAGCAGAACTTGGAAGAGACACGAGGAAGTCTTACTTTCATTTCAGAGACCACTGCACTTTGTGCCTGCTTCTTCTGACACCGGGGTTCCTAGCTGGTCGTAGGTCTTGTGAAAGAGCAGGCTCAAAGTCTCTATAATTGTGATTTAGCAAATTTGTTATTTGAGCTCTAAACTGAGCTGGCATGGCAACATAATTCATTAATTTTAGGACCTCATCAGAATAATTGGGATGGTGTCTACAGGTATATGTATGTATTTAAGGGAATTTATAGCTTTTACTATTTCATGAATATGAAACACCTGAGTGGGAAAAAAAAATCACAAATTCCCAGCACAGGGAACAGGAAAACTATACAGCAATTGCTTAGATAATAAAAATTTCCCAAGGGAAATACTGAATCAATAGGGACATCCCTCCAACCCCCAACCACCATTCTGTCTAATAGCTTAAAAGCAATGGTATTGACCATCTGTGAAAGCTGAGAACAGAGGACTATGTAAATTAAGAAATCGTGAAGGCTGGAACCCAAGCGTTTCATTTACTCACCTAATCAAAACCTATAACTACTCTGAACCACGTTTATGAAAGTACATCATTGGTTTGGTGTAACATGCCATTACACACCAATGGTAAGGCAGTTGGCATAAATGACTATGATTAGACCTATGCTGACATAACCAAACTAATTTTTCAGTTTCCTTATGTGGTCAATTCTTTATAGCTATAATAGATGTCAAAATCAAATGTGTGCTCATCTCCACACTGCCTTCTCTTTTTCCTCTTCTCCCATCCACATTCAGGAAAAGGGCTGGGACCAGGGTCTGAGTCTCTGCGTCCAAGGTTCCCTCAATCCTCTGGGGCTGACATATCTGCCTTCGCCCAGACAGCGCCAGCTCTCCAGTCCCACAGCTCATCCTCAGCTCTGTGTCACCTGTGTCCCTTGACTTGAGAGCTACTATATCCAGCTGTCTATGTTGGGCATCCAGAGGGTTGGAGGGCTTCAAAGCTGGCCAGGCAGGGGAGGCGATGGGAGCGCATCTCCTTGTGATATCCCTGTTGACCCGCCTCCTCTTCTCCAACAATTGCAAATGGTCTTAAATAACTTCTGCAGATTTTCCTTCAGGGCCTGTCTAAGGTAGGCGGTATTTAACATGATAGCAGGAATAAATTTCTAATGACTAACATTGGTTGTCCCAAAGCTTTTCCTTCTTTCTTGTTGAAGGGAGATTGGCAGGGGCTGGGATATGAAAATGGGAAGGGCCCAGATAACTGATTCTAAGTGAGGGAAGAGGTGGTGATTCCACGGTGGAAGCGGTGGAGGAAGGGAAGGTCATAGAGGGCGTGGTCAAATGACTTTGCCTTCATCTGGGCCACAGATGAGCCCTCTGCTTGCTGGCTGGAGCCAAGCTTAAAGGCTGTCTCTGGGAACCCTCACACCTGAGAACAGGAATCACGTGTAAACCCTCTCCAGCAATGGGACCTGGCAGAAACTGTGGCCCGCTGGCATCTGTCTCCCCTACTAGACGATCATTCTTGAAGGCTGGGCCACCTCCTGTTCATCTCGGTGTTCCCAGGGCCCAGCTCAGGGAAAGAAGCATAGCGAAACAAAGTTGTGTTGAACTGAATTGGAGAGAAGGACAAGAATTGGGCTGACGTGCCGCAAAGTGCTTATGGGAATGAAGCAGACCTCCAGCAGCCCTGGGGGGTGGGGGACAGGGGTGGGGAAGAAGCAAAAATGAGTCATTTTGTTAGAATCCATGCAGTGTATGTTCTACATGGCTGTTTATCTATTTATCCTGCCTCGACTCAGGCTATGTTTCTTCCCCTTCAAAACTTTCAGTGCCTTTTTGTAGACTATTGTACGCTGATTTCTAACCATGCCAAATAGCAACATTAAATATGCTCTTGTTTACGTGAAAGGGTTGGTTTGAGTGGGTAGCTCATCCTACTCTGCTTTACTTTGTACTGACTAATGGGGCGGCCGAAGCTAGTGTGATGAAATGAGGCTGAGCGACAAGAAAGCAGAAGGCATCCCAACGGTGATAGTTTGCGGAGGGCTCCAGATGTGCTGACCCCTGTGCTAAGCACCTGAGCGTGTGTTATCTCACCATGTGGGGTGAGCAGCACCTTACACGGGGAAACTGAGGCCTGGCGCAGCAGGTGAGTGGCAGCATCAGGAGTCTCGAGTGGGTCTGTCAGACTCCAAAGCTGTGCTCAAGACCACTGTGCCCCACTTCCGCCCAGAGCAGCCCAGCTGTATGGTTTTGCCACATCTCATCTCATGTAACCTTGCAGGCCCCAACCCTACTAGTCCCTGTAGTTTTAATAAAATATTCCCAGTCTGATCTTTATCTTCCCCTTTTATTTTTGTTTCTGGCAATAAGAAAGGGACCCACCTAAGTCACAGAGCACCATCATTTGCAAAGTGTCTGCTTTAAACCTTGGCTTTTAAGTATAATTTTATAGGTTGACTGCATGTGAATTGGCAGAAATGAAATACATCATGATTTGACGCTTTAAAAACCTTGGAAAAAATTCTCTTTTTCTTATTTCACTTTTCCACGCCTCAGGTTTCAGGTATCTCCTTTGAATGAGGGAGTGACAGGGGAGAGGAAAGCCCGGTTCTTTCCTTTTAAGGATTTGGTACCAAGGAAGGGCACTTTACCCATCATGAGATGGGATGAAAGGGTTCCAGTGTGGCACATCTATAGGGTTACGATACGATGGAGGGGACAGGGCATCTGCAAGTGTTCATCCCCAGTGCCGAGAAGACTATCTTATGGGTTGAGTCAGATCAGAGCAACTCAAGGGTAGGGTCCTATTTTCCCTCAGGCTGTATCTCTTCTGATAAAGCAAAGAAACATTAATCACTAGCCAAGATCCTGAGCAGTTTTTCACCAGAAAAGATAAAACAAGCCACAGAAATTACTTGTAACGTAAAGTTCCTAAAGAGTACTTGATTCAACCTAAAGTTCATGTTTTGGTCGATTCTAAAATATATCCTGACATGGGACATAATCCTTAATGGTAGATAGACAGCAATAATGGGGGAGTAAGAGGCAGACATATTTTGGAGTCACAAAGTCTGGGTCATGTGTCTTTCAGCCTCAATTTCCTTAACTTAAAACAGTAATTCCTGGATTCCTCTAAGAATTCGTGCAATAGTATTCATACAATAACAGCTTTATATCTGTGAACTATTGTTCAAATGGATGTGTCGTTACGGTTTTGGTGGACCTCTATGCAGATACATAGGCTGAACATTCTAGATCAGATCAGAATATTCTAGAACTTGTTGATAGTGGGCCACACGATGGGAAACCTACACAGAAGCAGGTGCCATTTGTAGCAGTGCTAGATAGAGCAAGATGAGTAAAATGACACGTAATGATAGTGGAAACAAAACTACATTTGATTCCTACTGGCTCCAGCTTTGTGCTAGGCACTTTACATACACCATGTCATTGAATCCTCAGAACATGCTCATAAGGTAGATATTATTCTCTTTCTGTTGATAAGCAACTGAGGCTCAGACTGATATATGGAGATATTGCCCTTGTACAGTTACTTTTCAGAACATCCCAGTTTTACTATGTAATTTTGGTTTAATTAAACTTGACCAGCTAAAAATTATATGGTGAATTATATTTAATGTTCATTACACTCGCTAACTTAGCTAAGATGGCGAGAATGATCCCTGTTACACGCTAATGATTAGGGCTTGGCAGCCTTCCTTCATGCACTTCCTTTTGTCACTTTTCCTATGAAAAAGTCTCAGGTGGTTCCTATCCCACTGCCATGGTGGTCTCTGCTGCCTGTTCCCACTCCCATTTTCCACCCTTGGCTGCCCTCCCCTGTGGCTGGGAGGCTAACCCTGTGGGCTGCATCACCCAGGAACTCTTCCTGGCTGGCTTCTACTTGGATGCAGCTGGTGGGAGACTCTGGCTGGAAGTCAGAGGGTAGGAGGAGAGAATAGTTGGGTGTTTTTTCCTACTTCTTTCCTGCTTGGGTGATGCTTATCTGTCCATAGCTGTGAATCCCTCCCACCTGCTGAGCAGCTTCTCCTCCACATCACCAGCTTTCATGGGGCCCCAGGATGGTACTTCCTCTGTCTGCCTCTCCGTCCTGTAGGAAGTAATGGCTTCCTGCTGGTGCTAGTCTTGGGATGCAGCAACATCCCTCCTGTGTTAACCCAGACCTCTACAAGTAGTGCCTTCATTCAGATCTCTTCATCTGAACCATCTGGAATAAATTTGGTTTCCTATGGAATTCTGACTGATATACTCACCAAATATTAAAAGTCATCTATATGTTCTGGTAGTAAGGGAGTACACATAACTCTTCTGAAGGATATGGGTTTGGCAGCCTGGCTAACTCTCCTATCCTGAGCCTCAAAAGCCAAGAAATATCACTCTCTACTTCTATTTGCTTGGAAGAGAAAGGAGTGTGCTGATTAATTCTAATCTGAATATGCAAAAGAATAGTTCTGGGAGGGCAAAGTTCAAGAATTGTGGGGTTTCTAATGACATATTTATATTAAGAAGCTTTTATCCATAATATGTAAAGAACTACTATGAATCATCAAGAAAAACAGCCCAATTTTAAAAATGCACATTTCTCAGAAAAAGAAATATGCATAACCAATAAACAATAGAAAAGGTGCTCAATCTCACCAGTAGCAGGGAAATGCAAACAAAATCCACAATGAGATATCATTTTCCTACTACCATATTGGCGGAGAATTAAAAAGTATGACTATGAGGCACTGGCAAGGGTATGAAACAATAGGAAACCTTATATGCTTCTTGTGGGCATATAAGTTGATATAACATTTTGGCATTACTTAGTAGTATTGAATATCCTATACCCTTGACCTAGACATTTCATGCCCTAGAGATATACTTACATAGACTTCCCGGGAGACCTGTATGTAAACGTTCTTAGTAGCATTGTAGATAATAGCAAAAACTACAAACAACACAATGTAATCAAGAGAGAATGGCTAAATAAATTTTGATATATTCTCACATAGAATACTATGCAACAATGAAAATGAATGAACTGTAGCTGTATGTATCAATATAAATTAATGTAGACAATATTGAGAAAAAAGCAAGTAGTCAAATAATATATGTATTATGATTGCATTTAAGTGAAGTTCAAATGCAAGCAAAGCTTAACAATACAATACTTAGGGTCAAAAACATTTTAAAGCATGGGAATGATTAACACAGCATTTAATTAAGCGGTTACCTCTCCTAGGGAGATAAGGGAATACAACTGAGCAGGGTCACCCAGGGATGTCACAGGTATTGTTCTATTTCTTAAGTTTGGGAAGTGGGTACAAGAATGATCATTTAATTTTTTCTGTTATTTATTCTTCAAAAATATTCCTATGTGTTTTATACACTCTTTTGTGTGCCTGATATAATTCATAATTTTAAAAGGTTTTTAAGGACTTCCCTGGTGGTCCGCGGTTAGGACTCCATGCTCTCACTGTCAAGGGCCCAGGTTTGATCCCTGGTCAGGGAGCTAAGATCCCACATGCCGCACGGTGTGGCCAAAAAAAAAAAATTTTTTTTAAAGTTCAGGTTGTACAGTCAAATTTCCAGAATTTCAGCTCTGCCCCTCAGTAGCTTTGCAGGCTTGTTCAAGTTAACTAGCCTCTCTGTACATCAATTTCCTCATCTGTAAAATGGAGAAAATAACATCACAGGGTGGTGAGGATTAAAGAAAAGAATGAATACAGGTAAAGTCTGCACTATGTCTGGCACATAGCAAGTTTTCAATAAATGGCAGCTCTATCATTCAATTGTCATCCTCCCTCAGAGCTGGGAGGATCCTGATCTTTAGTGGATGAAGACGTTAAGATCTGGGGACAGTTAAATGACCTTCCCAAAGCTCTATGAGCTGGTGGCAGACTCAGCCCACCTCACTCTCCCTACCACACTTTGGGTGTTCTTTCTCTAAGCTTCATGAGAGCAGAGAGGTTTGGTTTTACTTGTTCACTTTTTATAAGCTCACTTTTCAATCCAGGTTTCCTGTACTCTATAATTTGCAGTATTTTTTCTTAGCACAAAGCAGGTGCCTTTCAGTGCCTTACAGAAGGGATCAACAGAGAATCCTTTATCTTATTTATTCATTCAGCATTTACTAGGCTCCTTTTGTTCTTTCAGGGGTGATACTAGGCTTCTTGCGTTCTCTCAGGGTGTGATTCAAAGAAAGTAGAGGACGTCACTAAAAGAGACATCGATCCGAGCATCTCTCCATCGCTGGATTTACAATATTGTTTCATAATTATGTGTTCATGTTTCCATTCCCCCATTGGACCGTGACCTTCTTAGCAACAAGACTGCAAATAGCCAAAGCTGCTGCTTTTGTGGAGTTTAGGATCTAGTTAGGTAGGGATAGCTGTGTATGGGCAGATAATAATTATGTAAACAAATCTGATAAATATGGATGGGTGATCAGTACTATAAGGAAATAAATTAGGAAAAGGGAGGGAGGACACTTGGTAGTTTATCCTCTTAATTGAGGAGAAGCCTGGCTGATGTAGACAGACTGCATCATTTAAAAATAAACCACCCCGGGCTTCCCTGGTGGCTCAGTGGTTGGGAGTCCGCCTGCCGATGCAGGGGACATGGGTTCGTGCCCCGGTCCGGGAAGATCCCACATGCCGCGGAGTACCTGGGCCCGTGAGCCATGGCCGCTGAGCCTGCGCGTCCGGAGACTGTGCTCCGCAATGGGAGAGGCCACAACAGTGAGAAGCCCACGTACAGCAAAAAAATAAATAAATAAAAATAAACCACCCCTCTGAAAAAGAAAGCAGGCTTAACTTTTTCTCTGCTGGCCTCAAAAAAGGGACACACAGCTTTTCACAACAATCAGTGTTCAATACGCATTTCCCTCCAGAAGTGACTGACTTGGGGGATTCCAACCCACCTGACTGTTGGGTTAGGGCTGTTCCAAAGGATGGATTAGAAGAGACTGGCACAGAAAAGTGACATGATTTACAGAAGCTGGGGTTTGCACAGGCAAGTGGTTTCCAACAGATTCTGAAAACAAGGAAGGAAATGACTAGAACTCAGGGTCTAGATAGGACTCAAAGTGGAGCCAAAAGCTTGCCTGCTGGGACTTGTAGAGCAATTCCAAGAATATGTGTGTGGGCGTGGTAGCACAGGCGTGAGAAACAGCAAGGTTACAGCATGCTAGAGCCCATCTACTGATGCAGTTGCAGTGCTTGCTCTTTATGGCTGTGTTGTTTAAATAGAACATAGTAAGTTGCCCGAATCTGTCTTTGCTCTGTGGAAGTTTCACCCTGATGGAAACAGGAGGGGTGCAATTTACGAGTGAGTCACTGGAATTAACCAAAGAGCAGTTGTTGGGTGGTAAAGCTGTCATCTCAGGGAACTAAAGATTTACTGAGGATTTTGATTGGCAATGTTTTTTTATTAAGTTTTCAGAAAGCCCCCAATAAATCACTGCATGTATGTACTTCTCAAATACATCTCTTTCCCTCTTTTCTCCTCCTCTTCATCATTTCCCTCTGCAGCTAGGTACCCCTGTCACCTGTCTTTGGTTGCTCCAGCATCTGAAATGGTGCCGTGCCCATAGTAGATGCTGACCTCTATTTCTTTTTTATTTTATTTTTATTTTATTTTTTTTGTGGTACACGGGCCTCTCACTGCTGTGGCCTCTCCCGTTGCAGAGCACAGCCTCCGGATGCGCAGGCTCAGCGGCCATGGCTCACGGACCCAGCCACTCCGCGGCATGTGGGATCTTCCCGGACCGGGGCACGAACCCGTGTCCCCTGCATCGGCAGGCAGACTCTCAACCACTGCACCACCAGGGAAGCCCTGACCTCTGTTTCTTGAGTAAATCAATCCTTATTATCACCATCACACACATCCATTCATACAGCACTTTAAAAGTGTCCAAAGTGCTTTTCCATGTCTTCTGGTACTAATTGCCAGTATTTGCTTAGCACTCTCTAAACAATCAAGTACTTTGTGTATGTTGTCTCCCATGACCTCACAACAATGCTGTGGGTTATTATTATTTGGCCCATTTTACAGGCAAGGAAGCTAAGGCTCTGGAAGGTTAAATGACTCATCTATGCGCACTTAACTGACACTTGGCAGACTCGGGATCTCTTGGCTCCAAACTCCCCTTTTTCCATGCCACTAAGCTTTCATCTGAGGCTCAAGACGACCCTGTGAAGAAGAAATGAGAAAGATGAGGCCCAGGAAGGCGATGTGACATGTCCAGGCCGTGCACACAGTTACTGACCAGAAGAGAGGTCTCTGTTTCTAAGCCCTGGCCGTCAATATTATCATTCTTATTATCATAACGTGTTTTAAAAAAATTGGAAATTGCTATGTGGTTGTCTCTGATCAACAAATGGAAAAGTCTGAAAGAGGGAAATTATCTGTTAATCTAGGTCTAAACCATATTTGCATTAATTCTCTGGATACTGCCTGCAAACTCACACTAATTTTTTTCTCTCCTTCTGTTAGTGTGTATACTTCCATTGAGAGTATAATATATAAATCAACATGGCTGGAACATTTTCTTCTGTTTCTCTATTATTTTTGTTAAATTATTATAATTATTATACTATATAGTATCAATGTTTATATAATATATTATATTGTATTATATATTATTACTATTATTATATTATTATGTGCTATTATTAGACCCACATTTTTGGAGCTGGAAGAAAACTCAGGGAGGATTTAACACAAGCTCATCACTTTGCAGATGAGAGAACTGACTCTCCAAGTTGCCCAAGGACACACAGCTGGCTGCAGGCAAAGCTGGGACCTTGAAAGCCAGGTCTCAGCTCCCAGGAGCTCTTCTATCTTCCCTCAGGCCTCAAACCTCCCAGCCTCTATCTACCTAGTTTCAGGTTTCAACGATGGAAGTTTAAAGGTTTACCCTTTGCTTAAAACGTCAGAGGCACTGGCAGGTGATTAAAAAAAAAAAGAAAATGTCAGAGGGAAAGGCCAACACATGAAACCAGCAACGGTAGGAGTGCAGGAAGACACAGGACACAGCAGCCAGCCAGCAGCGCTGCCTTGTGTGTTATTAACAAGCTCAGCAGCCAGAGCTATGAGCCCTGAACAACTCAGAGCTGGGCCTTCATGGGCTCAGGGGGAATCTGAGAGAGGCTCTCCCTTCTTCCACCCAAATACTCAGAAGGGAAATTTGCAAGCCAGCCTGGTTGTGACAGGTTAAAACAGTCATAGAGGAAAGACATTCTTTACATAGATATGTATTTCTATATCTGTCCCCCCAGATTATACAAATATTGCATGCTTATTGGTTTGGTTTTTTTTTGCGGTACGTGGGCCTCTCACTGCTGTGGCCCCTCCCGCTGCGGAGCACAGGCTCCAGGCGTACAGGCCCAGTGGCCATGGCTCACGGGCCCAGCCGCTCCGCGGCACGTGGGATCCTCTCGGACCGGGGCACGAACCCGCGTCCCCTGCATTGGCAGGCGGACTCTCAACCACTGCGCCACCAGGAAGCCCTGCTTATTGTTTAAAAAATTAGAAAAAAACAGCAAAGCAAAAGACAATAATTAAAATCACTGTTACATCATTTTTTGTATTTACCCCTACAGAATTTTTCTTATACACTTACGCATGTATTTTTGAAAAAATAGGATCATATAGTAAAATCTGATTTCCAATCTACTTTTTAAAATTTACTATATTGTGAACAGCTTTCTATGTTAGCATGTTAATGAATATACATACTCTTACGCTGTTGTATGTAAAGGCAGCATGGTAACTATTCCAGATTTTTCCAAGGAACCTGTAACCAAATGTTTGTTAATTGCATCTATGGGCATGTATTGAACTGTGTATGGGAAATTTGTGTGTGTGTGTGTGTGTGTGTGTGGCCTTGCTTAAAGCTGTAGTAAAAACCACAGATATATCTGGCACTATGTGCTTTGTGTATGTTAATTTATTTTCTTGTAAGCACTCAAGATGAAGTTAATATTATCATCCCCATTTTACAGATGAGGAAACTTACCCAAGGTCAGTCACCTAGCATGTGTCAGAGTCAAGATTCAGTCCAGGCAATCTGGCCCAAGCCTGTGCTCCTGACACCACACTTCCAAGAATGGTTCCACCTATTTGGTTCCACACTCCAGCTCCTCGGTTACAAAACTGGAGGGCCTGTAGGAACATCCAGTCCTAGAAAGAAAAGTCTTAGTATGACAGGTGTGAAGTCCAGAGAGTTCTTGACTTCACTATCAAGTCACCTGTAAGTTCATCACAGAGTTTGACGATCATCCATCCAGCTGTTCTTTCTCTGGTCTTCTCCGACCATCTTCCCCCAACAGACACCCCCCCATCTCCCGCAAAACCCATCTTCTTCTACCTTCTCAGCCCTTCCCGCAGCCTTGGGCTCCATGTAGAAGGTCCCAGTGGAGGCTTAAGCCCTTCAGAGTGAAACAGCTATAAAACAAACACACCTTTCTTTGGTTACTATTGACAACTGTCAGACAGAACTATTTGGTGTTAGGCTCTCACAGTCACTTTCTTTCATTTTACCAGACTCCCTCCCAGGAAGGGCTGGGAGGGGGCCTTGGGGAGGAAGGAAAGAGGGGTGAGAGGGGAAGAAAACCCCCATCCTGCCACAACACAGAGCCTCGGATTTTGCTCTGCTTTGATGCTAACGTCTCTGATTCTCCCTGGTTCGTTCTGAAGTTGGGGGGTGGGGGAGGGAGGAGGGCATGAGGGCAGCTGAGCCTCCAAGCAATGGCATGGCTCTAAGAAGCTGTTTGACGAGGACCCTTGAATGGACGCCTCTATTTCCCTCCCCTCCAAAGAATGACAGTCACCTTGGGTAAGTCTGTTGTTAGAGTTGAATGGCTGGAGGTTTGTGTAGGATGGACTCAGGGTCTCTTCTCTTCCAGGAGGTTTTCAGAATGGAACTTTTCATGTGAGAAAGTCATCTGGCCTTTCCAGTGGGTCTGTGATCTTCTGATTAAAAAACTGTGGTAAAAGACCTTTTCTTTTTCTTTATTTCCAACCATTGCAGACAAATACTGCTTAAGAGTACAATAAATTCCAAGAAGAAGAAGAAGGAGGAGGAGGAGGACAGAGAAGGAAAGACAAAGGAAAAAAATGAAGTAAAAAAAAGACATACGGGACTGCCCTGGTGGCTCAGTGGTTAAGAATCCGCCTGCCAATGCAGGGGACACAGGTTCAAGCCCTGGTCCGGGAAGATCCCACATGCCACAGGGCAACTAAGCCCGTGCGCCACAACTACTGAGCCTGCGCTCTAGAACCCGCGAGCCACAGCTACGGAGCCCACGTGCTGCAACTACTGAAGCCCGCGCACCTAGAGCCCGCTCTCCGCAACGAGAGAAGCCACCGCAATGAAAAACCCGTGCACCGCAACAAAGAGTAGCCCCCGCTCGCCGCAACTAGAGAAAGCCCGAGCAGCAGTGAAGACCCAACACTGCCAAAAAAAAAAAAAGACTTAAAATGCAAGTCCCATTTTTATTATTAGATTCAATAGACATTATCCAATTGCTAAAAAACTTTCTAATCTAAACTCCTGATTTCTCTGCTTATCTTGCTGTGGTCCAGTAACAGTCTGAAGACCTGTCTGCCTGGTGTTTGGATCACACTGCGAGCAGCTATGATCTAGTTCACTCATTTCTTTGCCGGAAAAGTTCATTCATTCACTCATTTATTCTCTGAATAAACATTTGTTAAGCTCCTGTTACAGGCGGGGCATATAGGTTAATCCTGACTTTCTCAGGATTACAGTGACACCATGATTATGTGTTATTTTTACATAATTAAATTGCAATCGTCATAGTATATATCAATATAATATGATGTTCACTGTAATAGCTTTGGAAAGAAAAATTGTCCCAGACCTGGTCTGGGACAGACCCTTTCTGTGTGTGATATAATTCAAAACCTCTTTCTGGGAAGAAAATCAATGCTCCTGATAAAACACCTATGCAATTTTCTGATAGATTGCAATGGTATTGAGACTTGTTCCAGGAAACCAGTCACCCTCGCACTTCCTTCCCCCCACCTCCAGCTGACCGTCAGACACAGTCTAGTTGACCTTTAACCAGACAGTCTTTTCTTTCCTTTTCTAGTCTGATTATCTGGCCATCCCTATCAAGTGTGAATCTTTGAAATGGACTCCTAGAGGCCTCTTCCCTTGGAGAAAGCCTGCAATAGTTTGACACATGATCATATCTAAGGAAGGAGGTGACAATTCTCATGGGTTGGTGGAGTTGGCAGGAACCCATGACCTTGAGCAAGCTTTATAATATTTCTGAGTCTCAGTTTTTTCATCTATGAAATGGAAAGACTAATACCTCAGGTTGTGAGAATTAGGTGAGGCATTGAATGGAAAGGCCTTGGTAGGTGAGGAGTGCACCATAAGTGTTCACCATTTGTTATGATGATGACGATGGATTCCTGGTCTCCTTGGAGTCAAAAGCCTTGTGGTACCAGGTTCCTCCTCTGCTCCAAATCAAGCTCTGGGCCTTAGCTTGCTCTATGCGATGCCTAGAGGGAACAGACCCACCAAGGGGCTCAGGAAAGGAACTGTCTAGAGCAGCAGAAGCCCAGTTCCTCAGGGGGAGGAGGGGACAGCCTGAAGTGGGTAAGTCAGCCAGGCTTGCATATGGGGTAACACTCACATTTCCCACACTTTGAAAGTTCCCTCTAAGGTAGAGGGGAGGGGATTAAGCTCGAGTCACCTTGGGGCCAATTCTGGCTGAAAGACTTACAGTAGGTGTGTGATCTGGAAGCCAGCCAAGCAGACTCACCCCACATCTGTGGGAGAAGGCAGTGGTCTCCTGTGGTTTCAGTCCTGTGGCTGTTACTCAGGCACTGTTTATGGGCTGCCCTTTTTCACAGCTTTTCTCTTCGCTTGAGGCTGGGGCTGAGGGGAGGAGGGAGGCTGCTGAATTCTGCTGGTTCTGTTTCGTCCGTTCTGCTCTTGATAGAAGAAGCACACGTGTCATGTAGTGAATAATTTTCCTCTTTTAACCTCAATCTGCTTTTTCTGAGAGAATGACATCTGTGTAAGGGGCTCTGGAAGAGGCAGGAGGGGGAGACAGAGGAGGAGTCAAGGGAGGGAGAGGAAGGGAGATGGGAGTCTGGCCAATGTCCCCAGACCACTTTATATTGTGGAGACTTACAAACTGACCATTCTCTGCCACGGCCCCCAGGGGTAAAGGGAAGAGGAGGACGCAGGGGAAGAGAAAGAGTGTTTGCGGGTGGTACAGCGATGCCAGCTGGCAGGGCACCTTTGTGAGGATTAGAAATGCCGCCTGCTCTGGGTGCACCTGACCCCGCACCAGCCAGCAGAGATTGGCAAGCCCAGCACAGGCTGGCTTTCAGTCTCCACTGTCCCCTCTGCCTAGAGTTTTGTTCAGTGAACAGCCTGCACAACTGTGACCAGCAGCCCTGACTGGGGGAAGACAGTTCCCAAATGCAGTGGCAGATGAGGGCTCACAAGAAACTGAGATAAGAAGCAAAGAGGTAACACCTGCTCTTGGTTATGGCTACCATGTCTGGTGGGTATAAAGCTACAGTCCATTTCCGGAAAGAAAGCCTTACTACTCGGAAGTCCCTCTACTCATCGAGTACAGCTCTTTACTTTCTCCACAAAGCATCAGTCAAACCCTATGTAATCTAGTTCTTCCCCTCCTTTTCCACCAAACTTGGACTCTGTCCCTGTTTCCCCCCCCCCCCACCCCGCATATTGCTTCTTTTGGGCTCCCCAGGAAGGGGCTTCCTGGACTTCAGAGTGAAATTTCTACCCCCAACATTTCTGCTACCAATACTCACTACCACGTACAGGAAAACTCTGGTGCCTTATTCTGCTGAATCTTTTTATTATTTTTAAATTTTTTTCCTCTTATCAAATGACACCTCTTTTAGAAAGAAGGAGAAGAAAAAGCTAAGAGGGTAAAGGAACATGAGAGTGGAGAAAACCCTGCCTAGTCACGCATAGTTTTTTGCTTTAATTTATTTTCTTCCCCCGTGGAGAGAATGTTTAAAGCTTTCATCAGATTGTCAAAGGAGTCCACGAGCCTAAAATTTCAAGAGCCGCTGCTATAAAATGACTCACAGAATCTAAACAAAAGGGGCATAGAAAGTTCAGGGAGGGTTTATTAAATTTATTTTATCCCACTGTCTGATTTTCAGCAGCTTATCTAATTTCTTTCAGACCACGGGCATGAACACTGCTGCTTATTCTCCTGCCTGTCCTGGATGGCCCCCAGAATCACATTATTCTAATTGCCAGCTAGCAGGCCTCCCATTCTTCAGCCCCTCAGGCTCCACATGTCACCAGAGTTATAACCCTAAAGCGTATCTTTCATCATATCTTCACCAAACTCCAAGCAGCTCATTGGTGTTAAACTCCTCCATCGTCTGGCCCCCTCAACCTCCCTGACCTTATCATGCTCTGTTCTTTAGCCAGCCCTCCATGCCAGCCGGGTTGGTCAATGTACTGCTCACGACATGGACATTGTGACCTTCGACCTCCAGGTCATTACCTTTAATCTAGGTCTTTGTCGCCCCTTTCCCCTCAGTTTTCCAGAACCTTCCATCATTTAAGGCCAGCTCTCTGAAGTGGTATGCCCTGCTTCTGTGTTCCCACAGCATCCCGTTTTCCCCATCACAGACCCCATGACTGTGTGCAGTATCTCTTGCCTGCTCTCTTCATCTCTCCCACTGGTCAGTGAGTTTCTTCCGGATAGGGGTTGTGTTTGGCCAATGTTCCCAATATTGCCTGGAAGTTAGTATGTGCTTGGATACTTAAATATTTATTGGATAACTGAAGTTTTCTCTGACAATTATAGTGCATGCCCCCTCTGGGCCTGTATTTCCCCGAACTTCTATTACATTTATTGTTTCTACCAGGGACTGATAATCAGAATTACTGGAAGAGTTTTATAAAATACAAATTCTCAGAGCTCTATCCCAGCTCTACTGCATCAGGATCTAGAGGGATGGGCACCAGAATATGTATTTTGACAAAGTTCCCTAGATGTTTTTGATAACCTAGTTTGCTTTATATCTCAAACTTTTTTGTCTTGGGGCCACTTTACACTCTTAAAAATCACTGAAAATCTAAAGAGTTTTTGTTGATGTGAGTTGTAGTTATTAATGTTAACCAAACTAAAATTACAATGGATAAATGACAAAATATGTATACATTAATTCATTCAAAGTAACAATAATAGATCCATTAAATGTTAACATAAATGACACATTCTTTTCTGTTTGTGTGTTTATTGAATTTTATTTTATTTATTTTTTATACAGCAGGCTCTTATTTGTTATCTGTTTTATACATATTAGTGTATATGTGTCAATCCCAACCTCCTAATTCATCCCACCACCACCACCCCACCACTTTCCCCCCTTGGCGTCCA